CGCCCACATGTTGCGCGGACTGTTAGAGACTTCTGTTCAGCACAACGCATGCAACTTCTTCCTTGGCCTGCTTATTCGCCGGATATGTCGCCTATTGAGCACGTGTGGGATATGGTTGGTCGGCGTCTCACTCGTGATCCGCGTCCTGCAGTTTCCAAAGACGAACTTTGGTTGCGCATACAAGCGATATGGAATTCTCTTCCTCAAGCAGATATTCAACATCTGTTTGACTCCATGCCACGTCGTATAGCAGCACTTATTGCAGCGCGTGGTGGCTGCACCAAATACTGATTTCGGACGCTTAATTTGTTTCTTTTGTTTTGAAAATTTCATCATTTATTTGTATCAGTACAAGTCGTTTCTGCATTAAATTTCATTTGATTCTGATGATTCTTTCATGGTGTTGCATTTTCTACAAACAGCAGTTTATAAATTGCAAATAAGTATCCCATGTAACCTTACCGCAACGTCGGAATTCTCTCTTTAGTGTCACGAAAATGTTTGTACTAAAAACCTTTTTTTCTAATAAAGCAAAAATATTGCTGAACCGCTTAGTATTTTTTGAAATTTAAAAACAAGTTCATTAAAGCATCAAAATAAATCCTCAATTTAAGAAGTGTTCTTTTCACTAGTGTCGATATGAGACTGTTTCTCTTTCCAGGCATGCTAATTGAACATTTTCCATAAAAATAAAGGTCTTTAGTTTATGAGAGATTACAACTATACTTTTATTTATGTTTTAATAACACTGCGCCTTAAATTTTTAAAAATCGTTCGAAAATAATCTAAAATATTTGCCTTTTTGGATTTTAGACTGGAGCTGGGAAGTGATCTTCTAACAATGATGAAAGAAATGCATGGGTCAAAAAATAATGAGAATTATTGCTGTTAAAACATCTCAAAGTTTTAAACCATCTACATTATTCAAAAGTCTACAATGACAGAGATTCTTTGACACTAATTTCTATCGAAAATAAAACTACGAAAGCAGTTCATTTTAAAAAAATCTGAAACTGTTTGCGTCTGCACGAAAAAATACATTTTAATGTTTAGGCTTTTAAGTATGCCATAAAAAATTTTGCCGATTATGAATATTACCTATAATAAAAATTTATTCTAGAATACTTGAGGTGACGAACGACTTTCTTTTTTAACCTTGAGTATGTTAATTGCTATCTTGAAATCAACATTTATGGCTGATAGAAATATTGTAATATGAAATTCTACTCCGTTGTTACTACACTATAGTGATACAATTCAAAGAAGTTATTTTTGTATATTCTTTTCCAATATAAAGTTTAGGTCGTTGTTTTGGCTGCCTATCCACACGCTAATGTTGAAATAGAGAGTTCTTCTTTGTAGCTCATTTTGATCACCCATCTTATTATCGGTACTTATAATAGCTATTATTTAATCAATACTCCAACTTCTTACAGGTACTCGAAATAATTCTTTTTTTAATCGGTATTCAACACCGTTTATCTTTTCATCAGTACTATTTTTTTTCTCCAATCTATACTCAAACCCTCTATCATTTGAAAAGAACTCAAA